CCGAGGGAGAGGCTAACCCCAAAACTAGGATCAGGAATATTTCTATTTGAGATCCAGGGAGAAAGTGCAGACTTTGGAGTTGTGGTCCAATGGTTAGGGGAGGTATTGGAGACCAGTGGCATCAAGCTGACTCCAGGAGCCCTGCTCCTGCTTGTTCCAGTTCCTGGGAGCTAATAAGCACCAGCTGCAGGAAACCTGAGCTGGAAAGCATTGTGCAGCTTTCCTTCTATTTCAAAATATGGCCTTTTTTTCCCCTTAGTGTGTTTATGTTTTTTATATGTTGTAGGACATCACTTGTAGGGCAATCTAGCAGTGAAAACAATAGTGTGACAAGGGGACAGGTCCAGATTGGACACGGGTGCAGGAAACACCTGTGAGCTCAGTGCCATCCTTTCCTCCATGGCTGCACTGCTGTGAGCCCTGCCCCAGCTGCTGGCCCTGGGTTAGAGCTTCCAGCAGACTCCTCTAGTGCTGGATGTGACCAACTCTGCTGTGAAAACTTGGGAAAGATGTTTGTTTGCCCAGCCAGCTCTCAGGAAGGTGGCAGCTTTGGGGTGGCTGTGCAGAGCTGCTGCCGGTGGGTCTGTGCTTTGTGGGACCCTCTGGCTGTAGATGGGAGGTGTGGATGTGTAGGAAGGTTCTTGGGGTATTTTTTTGTTCCTTTCTACAGAAAAAAATCTGGGCCATTCAAATCATTTGCCTTTTCCCTCGTGCTGACAATTTAACAGTCTTTTTAAAAGCTTTGGTTTCTCTCAAGTACGCTCACCCCATACTTGCTTTAATTCTTATGTGGAGGCCTGGAGCTTAACAATTATTTTGCTTAAGCTCTCTGAGACTTGCCATAAAACTTTTTTTTTTTTAAATGCACACATGCTAATGATCCCCATCAGATCATATTGTTAAACAGGGAATAAAGTACTTGCACCACTATGACATTATTTTAAAAAAATGTTAAAAGCAGGCCAGCAGAGCCCATTTCAACAGTTTTGTCCTGAAATAATTTGCACAGATTTGTTAGAGTTAATTTGTTGAAAAGTTCAGTGTTTGTACAGGCAAGTCCTGACTTCCACACTGAGACACAAGAAGCAGGAGAGGTGTCCAGCATTTGCAGGAGCAGCATGGTGGGAACCTTCCCTCCCTCTTACCCTTCCACCCCCTCCCAGCTGCCCGGTGCAGGAATGTAAAAGCAGTGTCAGAAGGCTGGGAAAGTTGGCTTTGGATTTTTGTGGACTCCTTGCAAATCAGAGGAACTGTCTGGCTCAAATCTGCATTTAGGGCCAAGAGAAGAGGATTTCCTGCTATTTAGTTGCTTGAGGAAGGAAAGGATTTACCTCTCTGCTGTAGCAGAACTTAATTTTTCTCCTTTTCATTACGAATATCATAGCGTAGGGCAGCAGTAGTAAACCTGCGAGAGCAATCACGGCTCTCCCTCCTCTTCCCCGAGGGGATGCAACTCCCCCCTGCCCAAGCATCCTCCTGTCCCAGCTCCCAGCCCCAGCAAGGGCTTGGCATGTCCCTCCAGTGTGAAACAGAGAGCCGTGGAGGGGGTGGCTGCTGCTCCGTGGCTCCCTGGCCACCATCTGGATCCAGTTAGCTCTCTCGGCAGTAGGGCTGAGTCTCATTTCCTCCAACCAGTAATGTTATATAGGCAGTGATCCTGTTCTGCCCTAACATAATTGAAAATTATGTGTATTGTAGACTCGCAGCGCTGAAATGTAGACTTGTAAAAATCTGTGGCTCAGGTAGCCTGTGGAGATTGAATTTGGCACACAATGAAGCTTTTATGTAAAGTAAGAATTATAAGCCACCACATCAATATTGTGTTACAGGCATGACAATTCTTGGATGAAGAGGCCTTGAGTCAGGCTCGTCACCTTAAACAATGCTAATATTTCATACTTTATCAGCAGGGCTGGCATTTTGAAGCCAGCAAGCTGGACTTTTTTTGCTTTTGCAAACATCCTGCCATTGAAGCTGTGGGTTCACTAGCTTGGCATGGACATTGGCTGTGGGCTCTGGCCCCCTCTGCTTATATGACAGACAGAACATCTCTCCCTTGGCAGGGCTGGGAGGCTGCTCTGGATCCTGGCCACTTGGTAGAGCTCATGGAAGTTGCTTTATCGACCCTTGTGCTTTACTGCTTTCCCTTGGGTCTGCTTATTTGGTTTTATTTTGTCTCCCACTGGTGTATTGTCCACTGGTAGAAATGGAAGCTGTCCATGTCTGTGCTTGTGTGCAAAACTGAGCCCTCTGGGTTTGGGCTGTTCCTGCTGGGCTTCATGTGCATGTCCAACAGAAGCTGTTTGTGCTTTAGCCTTTGCACTGTAAGACTTCTTGGATCCTCTTTGCCAGGGGTGGGTAAGAGAAAGGCTTTGCTGAGAATCCAGACTAAGGGTTTTAAAAGGAGAAAAACAAAGTATAGCAGTAAGATCTTCTGAAGCGTTCATCTTGCCCTCAGGTCAGCCTGGTGTAGGAGCTGAAAGTATGCACTGAAAGCACGGGCTGTTGTGGGATAGAGGTGGAGTGGGAGCAACCATGCCTTCTTGCTCTGTTTCTTCTAATGGAATTTATTGCTAGTAAAAAACAGCAGAACTGACAGTCCTGAAGGCTTTGTAATCCCTGCAATAATTACTGACTGGATGGGGTCTGCTGTGAGCTCACCCCTGCTGCTTGTCAATGCCTCTGTCTGCCCTTGGGGCAGTCTCAGAGAAGCCCACGTGTTTCTCAGCCTGTGTTTTAGGACAGCTGCTGACCTGAGCTCCTCACAGGCTGTCGTGGTTGTAGGGATATTCCAGGGTTGCTTGTGACTGTGGAATGGTCATGGAAAAATGAAGGTGATGAGTTTACTTTTGTGGGTAATGGCTTGAAGTCTGCTCCCTGAAAAGCCACTGAGCTGTCATGTTCTTGTAGGGCCTTCAGCCTTGGCAGTGGTAGCTTCTTGCTCTCCCAAACCATTGTGGACTTTGAAGCAGAGTCATGCACATATCCTGTGAGGACATTTTCCTTGAAAGAAGGGAAAAATACTTCACTGGTTGTCTGGAAAGCCTGAGGAAGCCAATAGTAGCTGTGATCCATCAGGACCTGTTCTGCAAATTCATGCGCCCCTCTCTGTGGTGGTGTTTCTATTACTGTCTAAGAAAACTGGTGGACTTTTGAAAATGTAGCAGTTGACTTGTTTAGTAGTACCATCTGAAAATCTGTAATGGTATCAGATTTCCCCTCAAGTTTAAAAGTTGGCTCTCAGTTGTCTTAGGCTTTGGGTCCAAATTCTACACACTCGGGTTGCATTTTTGTGCACTTTTTTGAAACCACAAAGGGTTAGAAAGTTGCTTTAACATCATCTCAACTTTAAAATTTATGTTGTGGTCACATATACTGAAGAGCAGGGATTTAATGCAAGTGATCAAGTATCTGGAGGCTTACAATCGAGTTGTAAGAGTTAGAAATATAACTTATGGGTAGTCTAGTTCTGGTTTGTTTGGGTTTTATTTCTTGTTTTTAAGAAGTGCTGAAACATTCTGGTCCACATTGCACAAATCCCAAATGTGAACACGAATAAAAACAAGACTTCTTGGAACTTGTGGAACTCATATGGGGCACAAATCCAGAGTATGGGTTTGTTTATTTGCATTCCAGTAGCTTAGAAAACTCAGGCCCTCCAAGTGATGGGAATTGGTAACACATTCTCCAGCTGGCTTCTGCTTTTTGGGCACCTCAGTGCCCAGAGTCTTGCAGCAAACAGGCCTTGCATGTGAGCAAATGTTTTAGATAGTGATGTGCTGAAAGCATGGAACCAGATCTCTTTCCTTCCTTCATGGGCATTCAGACACAGCTTCCGCTGTTTGCCTGGAGTGCCGGGGGCTGTTTGTGCATGGTGGCTCTTCAAGATTTCTTTTCTTTTTTTTTTTTTTTTTTAAAGTAAGAGCAAAGGAATGGGCAAACATAACTATTTCTCTAGTAGGTATTTTCTAGGAATAGATCTGTCAGGTCAACCAACGTCTAGTGCCCAACAGGAGCTGCTGCAGTGGCCTGATCTGTGTGCAGCTGCTTTTCTTAGTTCTGGGAGGGGGCTCAATGTATGTGGCTGTACACATTTCTTCCAGCACGATACAGGGCTTTTAGAAGTCCTGTATTAACTGGGACAGCACAGCACCGTGCAGAGAGAAAAGCTTGGGCTGAAATTATATTTAGATGTACAACGTGGGAATTTGTTTGGGATAACTAATTTCTCTGTGGACCTGCTTTTGTTCAGAATCGAGCACTTCTGGTGCAGTGAGCTGAAGCTTTTCTTGCTTCTGAATCAGTACCTGGTATGCTGGAGACTTGGCACCTGGGTGTGTTCAGCCTGTCTGCTGGTGGCAGTGCCACAGAGAAGTTGTGGCTGTCCCTGAGCCTGGGGTGTCTGGCAGAAGATAAGCAAGAAGAAAATTCATGGTGGCTTCCAGAAATGGTGGAAAGTAGAGAAAATAGGTGCTAAGACCCAGCAGTGCTGGGTCTTTTTGGGCCAGTGCTCTGTCTTTAGGGCTCATACAGCACTGGGGAGTTGGAGCAGTTGACTTGGTACATTTGTTGAAAGAAGGCTGACAGATGACCCATTCAGTAATGAGATCATATTCTTAATTCATGATATGTTTTCCCTCTCCTGACAGTGATATCCACCTTTTCCCTTGTCCCATCCTCTCCATGCTTACGCTATTTTGTTTCTTTGTGGGTTTTAATCTACTTCTAGATTTGCTACAATTAGTAAAATTAATGTAATACTGCCTTTGAAATCTGTTTTATTTTCTTATTCCTGAACTGTAATGCAGTGGTATGAAATCGTTAGTTCTGTACAGATTTTGTCTCCACAAACATGTAAAGTTGTCTTAATTTTTTGTTTCAGTTCCTTGCATAAGTTTTAATTTATACTTTTTTATCCATGTTACCTAAGATTTGTTATTTTTTTTGCCTTTCTTTTCTGAACTCATTTTTCTTTTCCCATTTTTGTTTCCTCCATCCAGTATCTGCAGATGAAATGGCCACTGCTTGATGTTCAGGCAGGGAGCCTTCAGAGTAGACAAGCCCTCAAGGATGCTAGGTCTCCATCTCCAGCACACATTGTTGTAAGTAAACCCAGAAAGATGTTCTTCCTTTGTTTAAAAAAAAAAGGCATTTGACATTAATGGCATTGGTTGTCATCAGTTTTCTTTTACACAGACCAAAGGAGAAATACCTCAAAACAAACAAATCCCTAACAAGCCTGTGGTAAAAGGAGGGAATACTTTTGTTATCACTGGGCTGTTTATGCAATTATCATCCATGTGCCTTGCAGGAGACCAGGGAGTCAAAAATGCTCTAAATTTACACACAGCAGAATTACGTAGTGGCAGTGGAGTCCAGTCAGGCTGGTTTACACATCTGACAGTGCTGAAGTGAAGAGACTGTCTGGAAAGCATTAGAAAAATCAAAACAAAGCCTATTCTATGTCCTTTACTTAAAGGAATCTTTTCTAATTGTAAAATCTTCGATGAGAGTTTGAGAGTCAGGATTTTTACCTGAGTGAAGGCTCAAAAGAGCCAAGTTCAACAAAGCACATGTTCCTTTGTGTTGTGATGACTTCTCATTTAGTATAAACATTGTTATCAAATGTTTACTGCTAAAAAAATAGTATTTAAAAAAATACTATTATTTATTAACTTCTAAGTTAAATTTTCAATTCTGTTAATTTGTCTTGTGCTTCTGTTGTGAAAACAATGTTGAGTTTGCAATGTTCAGTAGAAATTTACATGAGAGTGGTTTGGGGTTTATTTTACTTTCTAAAATAGCAACCATAGAGATCTATAAGGAAATGGTTTGTTTATGTGGTGATTTGCAAGAGAAGTGATATGCAATGGTCCATCCTCACCCACTGCCAGTGTCAGTGCAGTGTATTGTTAAGGAGCTCTGACTATTCATCTGGGAAATTTACCTCTGGAGACAATGGCATGTAGTGGGTTAGAATATTTCTTCTGAAAAAATTCATCATCAAGTTTAATGTGATTTAAAAAAAAACAAAAACTTTTTTGCAACCATTGGATGATAAGGTAAATGCCAGGAAAAGAAACTGCTCATTCTTTAGATTTTGTACTATAGTCTGGAGCTGACACAGCTGGTAGATCATCCAAGGCACACCTTGGTTTTGCTAGAAATCTCAAATCATACTAAACATTTTGAGGTGCTTATTTTCCATTGTTATCTCTTTAAATTGAGAATTATCAGCCCATTGTGATGAGTGTCATAGTCCTTTATTCAAAAGGAAGAAAATACTTACTATGTTTTAGAATCTATGGCTTCTAAATCATCCTTCAATTCATCAGAGAGCAATTGGAACAAGACTGGTATCTGCCCACTTGATATCTAGTGCTGGCTGCTTTACTTTTTCAGAACTACTTTGCTTTTCCTTCCTGTCCATTTGGGCTGTCACTGGGGGAAGAGATCAGAGAAAAGATGTCTGGCTGGTTAATCAGAAATCTACAGTCATCAAAACCTGCCATCATCTTACCCTTAATAAGAAATGAGCTGGAGAAACCTTCCTATTTTAATTCTTTTCTTTTTATTGCTGTGCTAGAGGACTGACACAGGGGGTGGGAATGTTCCTGAGGCTCTGGCATGCTGGAGCTGTGTCAGGCTCCTAGGAAGAGATGGAGAGGGAGCAAGAGGCTTGTCCTGGGTGATTGCAGCTGGGGAGGGCAGGATGGGACCACCTGAGCTTCCCAGTGCTGAGCATCCACTGTCCCTGAGCCTCCTGCCCTGCAGGAGAGCAGACACTTGCCTTTAAAAACCAAAGCAGCCTGTGGTGCTGAGAGGATTGTCTGGGGTCTTGGCTCTCCTGACTCTCTCCAGCCCTTCCACCCAGGTGTGGGCGAGGTGGAGATGAGTGGTCAATAAAATATACAAAAAAGGGTTCAAAAATCACAATCATTTTGGAAAATGAAGCAAAACCTGCTTCCAGGCAGGCTGAGGTTGATCTGCTTTGTGTTTTGACCATTTATGGGGTTCTTATGGGTCTCTTTAAAAGCTGTTTCACTCGGCTATTCAATAAAAAGCATATTTACCATAGCAACCACTTAGGCCATGAGGAACATATACTACCTCCGAGATGGAGGCCACCTTCCCAAAGAGCCACAGCTGGCATTTGTAATGTGATCTTTTGTGCTACTTACAATGTTGGAGGGGGAGGAGGTGAAGGAGGGAGGGACGGAGGAGAGCAGTGGGTTTTTGGGTGGGGGGGAGGAGGTTTTGCGAGGTTTAATGTTTATTTCTAGCACCAAACTGTTTTGCCTTGTTCTGTTAAAATATATAAATAAGGGGCAGCTTTTTCCACCCTTTTTCCTGGCACCGACCCCAGGCCACATTAATTTTGTGGAGTGAAAATGGTCTTTTTTTTTTTTTTAAATAAAGTTAGAGCGGGTAATGGCATTTGGGGGAGATAAAGTGGCTGCAGATGCCAGTTGGCCTGGGATGTGTCAGGCATCTCTGGTGTCCCCATTGCTGCTGCTGTGCCTGCCCACAGCACCTGGGACCTGGCTGCTCTTGCACAGGGCTCTACATCCACTTTTTCATTTGTGAAAACACAGTTAATCTTTTTGTGGAACAGTGAGGGGTACTTAATGGGCATCCTGATGTTTCTGTGCAAGTGTAACGTGTAGGGATAGAAACTGGTTCTCTACCCTGGTTGCTGTGTCTAGTCTCCCCATCAAGGGTACCTATGCCAGTTTTTCATCTCCAAATCAGTTGGGCTGCCCTGAAGATCTGTAGGAAAATGCTAACACCTGCAAATCACTTCTTATCTTTCCCCTATCTCAGAAATCAGGATTTGAGGCTAATCTTCATAGCTGGATTACAAAGACAGGAAAGAAGAGTCTGGCAGCTTGAGTTCCCCCCCTCCTTTTTTTTTTCTTTTTTTTTTAACCACTTTCTCTTTTCTCCTCCCCCCAGTTTTTTTTTTTCTTCCCTTTTTTAACCCTCCTTCTCAGTGCTTGGCTATGACAACCACAAGCTCTGTGTCAGCCTTTACTCCCAGCTCCAATGAAACTCCCCTTAGGAGTTCAGCTTAATGACTCAAGGCTGCATAACGTGGCTGTCTGTAATGTCTTAAGTAAAATCTGTTCTGTTTGTCAGCCATCCTCCTTTCAGATTTGTTTAAGAACATTAAGTTAAGACCACAAAAATTGAAGCAAAAGACCAGCATGAATAATTTGGCTGGATTGCTGTCCCCAGTGCTGAGGGCTGGGTTAATACTGCTTTTTCATGGTGCTTGAGAGAGTCTCCAAGGCCCATAATGAGAAACAGAATATTAAACTGAAATTATGTTCAGTATGTCTTGTGGAAGGTACAGCATGAGGCTCCTTTTAAGACCAGTGCATTTATTTACATTTAGGTGCTTCACTCATCTGGCAAGACTTTTTGCATGTTGCTCTGGCACAGTCATGCTGCTTATCTGTGTCCAAAGGTGAAAGAAAACAGGGGGAAAAATTGTTTTAATAGTATATTATTAAGCTTGCTAGGTCAAAATCTTGAATTCAGCCTGCAGATAGTACTATTATGAGGCTGGGATATTTTAAAAGTGTTTTTTATGGTTATTTCCCCTCTTATTTTTCTGACCTTTGATTTCATTGAAGGTATTAAGATTTTGTGAAATAGTCTGAGCAGGAAGTTTTGGGCGTAAAGCAGACCTCAGCTGGGTGCCTTGCTCTCAGGGGGTGGGGTGCTAGAAGTCCCATGGTCAATGTGCACCTGATCTGATCCACATGTGTGCTGCCAGCATGGTGATAAGGATGAGAGATGGGTAATGTAGGAGTGGGAATCTCACATAAACATTTTCTGTTGCAGCCTGGACAGGCAGGTGAAAATGAGCAAGGTATGTTTGTGCGAGGTTCTCTAAAATCTGCTCACTGCAGAAAGCAAGCTCCTTTAAAACCTTTCTTTATCTATGTGCATTCCTACAACCTTAAGCAGAAAACCAGTGCTGTTCTTCCCTGTTCTCTGCTAAGTAAATACTCTGACTCAGCCATACCCTGTGTTGGGCAGGAGTGTGGGTGAAAGACCAGTCCTGGGATCCTGCCTCCTGCAGGCTGTGCAAAGACTTGCTTTTAGCTTCCTCTGTACCTGGCAAAAACATTCGGAACCCAAGATGATGGTGGCTCAGTACAATATAGTTCTTATAAAGCACTAAGGGGTTTAAAAAATTCCTGCATTTTGAAGTAAATGTCAATGTTAACCTCGGGGGGAGGACTTCCAGTACTTTTTGGCCTAATATGTAAGGAACACAGCCATATAGTAGACTGAATCACCAAGAACAAAGAATCACTGTGCAGTAGTGTATCTATTTTTTTTTCCTTAAAAAAAAAGTAAAAATGTTTTTTCAAAACATAATGTGACAAGCAAAACTGAAGGCAAAACCATCTGAAACATACTGACTATTCTCAGCCTCTTTGATGAGAGGGCATCTGGGACCTTTGGGTGGTTTGGAGAGATCAGGAGTTTTTTTCCCAGAGCCACTGGAGCTGAAGCTGCACAGTCTGTCCTGACTATTCCCTAATTTTTTTGTCTAATGTGGTTTGTACTTCTGCATTTTAAAGAAAAAACAAATGCCCACTAGTAGCAGTTAGGTTTACCTTATGCAGATTTTAAAATGCACCTACAGTGTCACTCCAGACAGGCTGGAAGTGAGGTGCATCCAGAAATACATATGTCCTGTATGTGTGGAGCCATCTGGAACCATAATCTTATAACTTCCACTCACAGTACTCTGAGAGGGCTTTTAAAGCTCTTGCTTTGTTTGTCTTTAATGTTTTGTTGTAGGGAGACTGTTCTTCCTCTGCAGTAACCTCTTGAGATGTTCGTGGATTCCAGGCTGCCTGCTGGACACCCGCTTCTGCCCCTAGGGAGCTGCAGGGTGACCAGGAACACGATGGTGCTCTGGTGGGAAGGACTTGGCTGAGCATCATTGATATCAGTGCCTGGTGTTGAGAGGGACACGTGGGCAGGAGGACAGGGCTGTGTCTGAGCTGTCCTGGTGCCCACTCAGTCCCTGATGGCTGGTAGGTCATGGACCCAACTCACAGATCCCTGAGACTCACAC